AATCCTGGCGATCGGAGAAGGGAACTCCTTGGAGGTCTAAGCGGGGCACCTGCGCCAAGCTTCTTCTTTTCGCATTTGCATTTTTTCATAGAGATCCAGGCTGCCGAGCATTGACCTAACCTGCATGTTTTTATAGTGCTTCAGAGGAGACTATCAGTTTACTACTTGGCCCAGACATTTTGGAAACCATGCTGCAATCTTCAGAATTCAAGGCCAAACGCATGTAAGCTCGACCGCCAGAAGCCCGTCAGTCAGCGCGGCTTCGGTAAGATTCCTTGCTTTTGACAACCCTCCAGAACTCCAGCAATGTGTTAAGACTTTTTTCGGCTCCTGCCTCGCACCAGAAAATTGAACAAGTCCCTCTCTGACAGCTCGAAATCTTGTAGCTATTCGCACGTCCGTGCCGAATCGCACTATGTAGTAGAATGAAAGTTCCCAGCATTAAGCTTGCTCCTGGGATTAAACAAGTCCAGGAGTTCTCTCTGACTTCCACATCACGATTTCTTGGCTCCATGCCATCATGAACACTTCTGACCTCAACCATTGGCCTTCTCCAGGAGCATCCGGGGATGCCGGCCACCGGCTTTTCGATTAATTTTGTCCCTGTGCTGCTGCAGGCATGGTCCTGACCCACAAGATTTGTGGCCAATATTCAGATGGAGCCCTTCATCATCCCTTTATAATCCCTACATGATCCCTATGTGATCCCTATATGATCCCTACAAAATCCCTATATAATCCCTATATAATCCGGGCATGGTTCGTGCTGCAGTTTCGTTGAGTAGCTGCTGACGGGTGGCTGAACAGCAAAAGGGTTTGCCAGCTCTGCCTTACGCCAGGCACAAGCCGTGGCCGACTGAGCCTCCACGGCTGAGGCAATCAAAATAAAAAAGCCCGGGCCTCATGTGGGCGTTCGCCATCACTGCTGTCATGTTCCACATTGTCACCCGTTCTGGTCTTGTGGCTCTGGGGTAGAGTGCCGAGCGGTCAGCTGAGGTGACATTGCCATGGTGATGGAATCTCCCGGGCTGACTTGCAATGATATGCAGTCGACGTGCCCAGAAAACTCAAAAAAGATCCTTTTATCCTGGAAATGCAGGCAATTCGCTGTGCCAAAACGAAAAACAAAAAGTGGCCAACAGAATTTTGAGGCAAGTGCGCCGGCAAACCCATGATCACAGGCAAGTCTGTTCGCACCGCCTAGGGCCTAGGGGAAAACGAATAGTCAGAGGTTCAGGAAGACCTTCGTGAATGGCCGGATAGTTTCTTTACACATTGCACCGTGCTTGCAGGCATGAGATCATGGTTTGCATAGCGGAAGTGGGTGAGGACTCCACTTACTGATTTTTTGATGGCCCATGCCAACTTGTCTGTCCTGCCCAAGCAACTACATCCTTTCAACTTGCCTCAGGGTGTAGCCGGGAAAGAAGGAGTTGTGTCATAGTGTCTGCGTATGACAAACCCCAGAAGTGTGCCACAAAGTACTCATTTGAGCTTAGCAGGGCAAGTTGGCATGCTGGTTTGTGGTGTGCAGGCAGCAAACAGGCCCGAATGTATAGGCCCCGAGTCAATGCCATTTGGTTTGAGACTTACGCTGCATGCATAAGTAGCTCTGTAATCCTGCTCATCTCTCCGTGTGGGACTTGGTGCTGCCTGCATCCTCTTGCCAGCAACCGCACGTTGAAGAAAGACGCCTGCCAAAAAAACAAAAAAAGTGCATACCTTTTGGACTCGTCGGGCAATATCGCTTGCGCTGTCCAGAAAGGCATCCACAGTGCCAAAGGTGTGACAATTCGCTTCAGGTGTGAGACCTGCAAACAAAAAATCTGCATTTGGGCAGCTCTGCTGCTTTGCATCCTGTTGATGATTCCCTCAAGTTACACATGGTAGAGAGTGGTAGACGAGTTTTAGACTGCCTTCAGAAGTTGAAAGGGGTCGTTGTTTTGTATCACAAACTGGATGACGGAGGAAGCCTCACTAGGCTCGCCTCCGTATGCTGTTTCCTTGCAGCGAGTTCTGGGCCCTGGAGGGCCTGTGGGATCCAGAGCAGGCCAATCTCGTCCAGCGTGGGCTTTTCATGACGACTATCTCGCATGGACACGTGGTGCAGCAGCTTTGTGGTGTATGTGCAATCAGAACTTCTCAACATGGTTGGTGGCTGTCTGGAAGCAGGGCAGCCACTGGCAACTAGGCCTCTTCAATGCTTCAGAGATGCTGGCAATCACGAACGACGAATGGCACATGCTTGAGCAAGAAGCAGGGCATCCCAGGAATTGTTAAGCATCAGATATTGGTATAGAGCCAAAGCAGCTTGCTGCGGTGTTTTGTGTGAGGTGCCCTGTTGTGTGCGGTTTCCGTGCTCAACATGCGAAGCTTGTGGAACCTGGCACGGTTGGTGCAAAGGCCACAGTTGCGGGGAGTGGCAACAAGAGCATCGCAGAGACCGAAACCTGGGAGGTGCTTCCAAAAATGGGACCAAAGAGCCATACTCCAAATTTTCTAGTGCATCGACAAAAAAACAACCAAAGTTCTGGAAACTCCTGGTAGATGGATTCCAACGCTCGTTTTAGCAGCTGCCAAGAGGGTGTGTAAGCGATCTGCTGTTAGGCAGCTTGTAGATTGGGGTTCCTTCTGTGCGCAGCCACCGTAACCTCTTGTAAGACCCCAAGCGAGCTGGTAGCGAATTCGGCTGCGTATTAACAGAACATGCATCTTCACACAGATTGGGTGGTGAAGATGCCTATCACCCATGTGAAGCATCGAGTACAGAGGAGACTTCCACTGGCTAAGCCCCACAAACTTGCACAGAGCATGCGGATAATTTCAAAACTTAGGCCCCGCCTCCAAAGCCATCGAAATCACAGGGGCCAAAGGGCCGTGCTGTCAATCATCGTGCCCGACAACTGAGAGAGTACACCCAAAGGCTATCAAAGCACCCAGTTGCCCTATTGGCAGTTGCGCACTGGAACAGATAGCGGCTCTTTAACGGGCCTCGTGGGCTGATTTCGGAATAATGTGAGCCATGCGCAGTATACTTGCCCACGGTCCATGGGCTCAGTATACTCCGGGTTGACAGCTCCGGGGGGATGTGAGCAGCCAGCATTCCGAAACCAGCTCATATATTTTGAGCTTGCAGCGTTGCATGGGACGCTGCGCTCAAGCCTTGAGGGCTCCTGCAAGTTCAGGAACTCTTGCCGAGGCATTTGCCAGTTCAATGCTGGTTTTTCACCTTGCGGAGCTTCATGCCCTGTGTACTTCATTTAAGGTGCAGTGTTTTGGTTTGATCTTGCCTGGCCTCCATCAGGTACTTTCAAGCCTTCCGAGCGACGGAAGAAGTCTGAATGTGCGCCAGGCGTGTGTTGAACAGCTGAGGAAGCCCATGCAGACCACCAGAACCAATCCTGCAGCCAAGCTTTCAACGTGGGGTTTGCACGCTTCTGGGGACAATGGGATTGTTCTGTGGAAAGTTGAGCCTGCTGGACTGTGAGGGTGTTAAGCTGTTCAATGCTTCATGAGCTCTAGACTCACCAAAGCCTTGCACTGTGCCACATGCTAGCCGCCTCATGCTTCAGACCCTGCAGGTTTTGTCGTACTTGAAAATGACTTTATCCAAAATAGTAAGTATAAGGACTGCAGGACATGTTTCTCACAACACCTACCGCATTCGTTTTGGCACAGGGCTGTCACGTCTAGCTCCTCCACAGGCGACATACGCAAAAGTACCTACGCAGCTGAGAAACCTGAGCCATCTCATCGCCATGGATGCGAATGGGCTAGACATGGCATAGCCCCAAACCCTAATATAGTAGTTTCCATTTTGTTTCCCATCCCATTCCCTTATTCATTCCCCTATATCCCACTACAGGGACCCACAAGCACGTGTGAAAAGGCGACAAAGCTGGCAGGGTCTGCAGCCACCAAGAGTTTTCGTGACTGGCATGGATGGCATGTAATTCAAGACTGCCTCGAAGCATTGTTGCACCTCTGGATTGGTACCAGATGGGGTGCCGAGCAACTTGTCTCCAGACCTGCGCAAGAACTGTCACACGCCTGAAGTTGCTTGGAACCGACTCATTCTTTGACACAGACCTGCCGATACATCACTGACAGGAATAATCCATCTCACAAAAGCGCGCGTGAGGGTATGGGACATGTGATCTCCGCAGTTTGTCTTGTGGTGTCTGAGATTGTCAGAGTGGTTTGTTTCCCGATGTCCAGGACAACAGTAAGTCTGGCTGACACTTGGGGCCATGCCTTTACGAATGAGAACACGTCAGCTTTCCAGTTGCAGCGTTCTTTTTACTGCATGCCACATTGCAACTTACACAAGCAAGGTTGTTCTCAAGTCTTTGCACAGTAGCAGGGTGATTGTTGTGAGCAGCCTGAAAAAGATTAGACCTACAAGAGAATTGAAGCAGATGCTCCGCGGCATGCTGGCATCTTTCCACAGACCTTCATGCCCACCATGACCTCCAACTATGGCAAGATACAAGTATATTGCCAGTGCTTACGAAGTAGCAAGTCATTGCTTCAGTGAATCTACATTTTTTGGGGATAATGCCAGGACTATCACACTGAAACTGTTATCCGCAATCTGATTCTATTGCCAAGTCGAAAACGGGATTTTCTTGTTAAATGGTTTGTCCTGATGTACTCTGACACAATGCTGCGCCCCCAGTTCTGTGATAGTAAAAGGCCCGCGCAGGACGCGACCCAACAATAAGCACTTGGAATGCTCAGTCTTAGGCCAGCAGCGCAAAGCCTGATTTCTGTTACAGGTAGGCTCAGTGCACGAAGGCAGCCTCAACAAATCTCATGCCTTCTTTGTATGACTGACATTGTGATTGACATGTTGTAGGGCCGATTACATTAGCATGAATGCCGGGGCGTATCCAGATCTTTGCCATTGGCCGTAGCAGTTTTGGCCCAGGGCTTTTTTTTGGCTGTTTTGGGTCTAAGGGTTTAGTGTGCAATTTCGTCCGCTGCTGGCACCAGAGGCCATGGACAACATCGGCCTCCAGTTCCAGGGTCCAATTCAGAAGCGTGGGGCATGGAAGGAAGGAAGTAACTCCGGAGTTCACACGTATATTAGGGTTATGTGGGATAATGGAAAATGAAATGGAAACTGCGATAGTATATTGGGATAATGGAAAATAAAATGGAAACTGTTATAGTATATGGGTTTTATAGGTATTACATAAGCACGAATTGGGATGCACACGTTGCAGGGCTGGAAGAACGCTTCAGACAAATGTGAAGCCTTGCAGAAAGTGGGCGATGACAAAATCTGAGAAGGCCTGCAGGAATCGAACAGCAACTTCGTCAATTAGAACAATCTTAACATATACACTATATGCCTCTGTACATGAACTTTACTTTGCGTCGAAAGATGTACAGATAGCGCTTATGGGTTTGTTGCACATATCTATGTTTATTATATAGGCACATATACACGAATGTATGTCTGTATGTCTCTATGTATGCATGGATGCATGTATGCAGTAGTTTCCATTTTCTTTTCCATTATCCCTATATAACCCCAATATAACCCCAATATAAGCCCAATATTACCCCAATATTACCCGAATATTACCCCAATATTACCCCAATATTGCCCGAATATAACCCCAATATAACCCGAATATAACCCCAAGATAGCGATCGCCGAGGTTTGGGCTCATGAATTCCTTGGGCCGCCTTGCGGGAGACAGCCCTCTTGTCACAGGGTTACTATATGGGTCATAGGAATAATGGAAAAGAATTTAGGGTTTAGGGTTTAGGGGTTTATAGGGATAATGGAAAAGAATTTAGGGTTTAGGGTTTAGGGGTTTATAGGGATAATGGAAAAGAAATTAGGATTCAGGATTTAGGATTTAGGGTTTAGGGGTTTATAGGGATAATGGAAAAGAACATGGAAACTACTATTTAGGGTCTAGGGCTTAGGGCTTAGGGCTTTCTTGGAGGATTGCGGGGACTTAGTAAGTAGGTTAATGATCCCTATAACCCCTGTAGTAACCCTAGTTATCCCTATTATTAACCCATTTACTAAGTTCCCCTGAGCCTCCAAGTAGGGGAGAAGGAGCAGGTTTAGAGCTGATGGTCATGTAACATGAATTCATTGATGCCAAGGTGGCTGTGCGGCATATTGGGATTGTTTTAGCTTGCTTAGGTTTTACACTACGCAACCTCTCTAAGACCTCTCAGGTAGGGAGTTAATGGCCATTTTTTTTGAGGCTGTCTAGGAACCGTACTCCCTGTGAGGTCAGCATCCTGCTGTGCGCCTTGGTCCCCTTTCTGCTGAAGGAGGCCCTTTCTGGGTCTTTGGTTCGTGAGTAGGTCTTGGACTTCAATTTGTTTTCTTCTGTTCCCTAAGTTTGTCATGGGGCTTATTAACCCATTGCAGCACGGGCTTGAACCCATTGTGGAGGTCCGCATGATGGGGATACATCGCGACATTTGAGGTCTATGCTGGGCCCCATATATTCATGGAACCCCCGGTTGAGTTGTAGGACTGCAGCTTGCTGCTGTGGAGCTATGGGCTTATGGTTCTACAGCTTTTTGCACCTTGCTTGAGGGTTCGGGGTTTGGAGCTCTACGCTTTGTAGCCTGCGCGTCACATTCGTTAGTGCAGCGCAGTGCAGTGCACGTGTTCATCTGCCTCGCTTGCTCCTCCTCTGCGTTTTGAGGCTGTTGCACACATGCCGAAGAAATGCTGGGAACTTCATCAAGTTGATCAGGGCCAGGGGGCCTGTGTTCGTGCATTTGCAGTGTGTTTGTTGGGTCTTAGAAATTGGAAGTATTCATCTTGTGATGCCATATTGGACAGTATCTTGGGCAGGTCCCTCGTCTTCTCGAAGCTGTCTGGGCGCTTGTGGAAAGGCACCTTGCCGCTGGGCGGATGTATTACACCAGGCGCATCGTCTTCACACAGGGGGACAACATGAATGTTCATAGCTTTCACGGTCCACGGGACGTTCTCGGCTCTGAAGAGACGTCCACGGAGCGCAACAACATCTTGCAGAAGGCGATCCGTTTGTACATCAACAAAGACAAGGACGCACTTCACATCAAGGCGCGGGCGGAGAATTTTGCATGTGAAGTCGATCTGCCTGCGTCCTTGAATGCATGGAATGCTTGCCTGGGTGCCTTTGACAAATTCCCTTCCCTGCTGCGTGAAATACTTCTTGCCCTGCACAGTGTGCCACCAAGAAGCACCACGTTACCACATTCGCGTCCACACAATAAGTGCTTGCAGACAATGAGTGCGCTTGGCAACATGGCAGGTTGAACGTTCGGGGTTGGGGATTTCACTGCTTCTTCTCACGCTTTGCCTTTGCCATAGGATGCCGAGATCTACTTGCTGGACAACAGCTCCGAAATGGAGAAGGGGCCCAGATTCGACCGCTTTGGAGATTTCAGGCAAGAGGTCAAGTTTGTCGGGGAGATGGATGCTGCAGTGAAGAAGCTCATGGGCTATGGCCTCAAGGTCGCATATCCAGCATGCTTTGTGGTTTTGTGTTGCAAGATTGTCTTGGTACGGAGATAGTGGGATGGCCAAAAGAGAAAATGGTCAGGTGTGACCAAGGGCCCCAGAGAACGTGACTTCCTGCTCGTTGACGCCAAAAGGAAGATTGAGTTCATGTACCACACTAACTACATTGCTCCAGAGTCCGGGGACGAGTCCAAGGGCAAAGGCAAAGGTTCTGCGGGTGGGGCCGGCAAGACGACCACCACGTTCTTCCTTCGATCTTCCGGGCCCGATGCAGAGAAGAACATTGACAGCTTTATTGAAGAAGCGTTGGAGGCATACAAAAGTCAGAAGGCAAAGTCCGTGGACCGATCCCGCTATTTCTTCATGCCACAGCTGCAGAAGGAGGACTCTGATTCGATGGGCAAGGGATTCAGCAAGGGAGGTTCGCGACACGGCACCTACAAGAAGTATTTGCTGTCGGATCACAAGACCTTTGACTGCCTGTATTTCCCGGAGAAGACGCAGGTCCTGTCTATGCTTGATGATTTCTTGAAGATGGAAGGCAAGTTTTCCATTCCTGGATTTCCAAACAAGTTGGGTTTGTTGTTGCACGGGCCGCCAGGCACGGGGAAGACCAGCCTAATCAAAAGCATTGCCCAGTACACCGGGAGACACATTGTCGACGTGCCCTTGACGAAAGTCAAGACCAATCAGGAACTGTTTGACAAAATGTTTGACCTTGTTTTTGCTGTTCCTGGCGATGATGAGGCGGTGCGGATGAGGTTCGACAACATTGTCTTCGTCATGGAGGATGTGGATGCAGCCTCTAAGGTTGTTTACCGAAGGGCGCCAGCGAAGGAGAAGAAGAAGAAGGCCACGAAGTCCAAAGGCAAAGGGAAGCTGCATGAGGGCAAAGACAAGGGTGGCTATAGTGACACCTTTGGCAAGGGCAAAGGCACAATGTTAGATGAAGGTGGTTTGCAAGCGAGTCTGGGTGATGAGCAATGCAAAGGGACGCGGGCGGATGGAAAGTGCAATGAGGTTTCGGGCAAGGGGAAGGGGCTTGCGGATGGAAAGTCGTCCGAAGGCGACGGAAACTTGGGGGGCAAAGGCAAGGGCGAGAAGCTACTTGCTGAACTGGCACGGAGAGGCCCTCCCCAGCTGAACCGTGCCCAGTCTCACACACTGAGCCTTGTCCGGACGATCACCATTGGCACCGAGGCCCCAGAGCCTCCTTCCATACCGCCTAAGATGCAGCAACAGGGCGAGATGGACGAGGAGGAGGGCGAGGAGGAGGAGGAAGATGAGGAGGAAGAGGAACCCGCTGACAAGTCCAGCGACTCCATGGAGCATCTGGCCGCAGCCATTGGCCGGCTGGGCAATTCAGGTCAAAACGAGACCACGAGCTTCTCCAGCCGCTTCAGCCGCGATGCCGATGAGCTAAATCTTTCTGGCGTGCTGAACGTCCTGGACGGGGTGGTTGCGACCTGGCCCGCGGATTCAGAGTTGACGGTGTGCAGGACACAACTTGAGGTTGGGGTACTGTACAAGCTTTGATCCTCCATAGAAGTGAGTCTTAGCCTAGGGTGTTTGAACCGATCGTTCAGTATAAGGAATCCCAGGATTCAGCTACTTGAACGATCCGATTAGGTACTCATGGTCCATCCTGTTTTTCACCCCAATGAAATTTCGAGCATCCCCAGATGAGCGATAACTTTTCCCACAGAATCCCTCATAGCCAATGTATCCCCACCTAGGTCCCCAAAAACGGATGCATGACTTCGAGAATCACCCAAGGCATTGTGTATGATGCCTACATATTCTTCATATCCTCTTGTATCCTTCCCATGAAGGATTTATAGTGGGATTCATGCTTTTCAAACGACCACCGGACATCCCCTACTTGCAGGTTCGTGCGCAGTTCAAGCTACAAGCATATGAGTGACGGTCAAAACTCCTTACGCTATAGGCAATGGACGCCAAATTGAGGGTGTCGCCTTTCAATATTCCTATCGCTTTATAAGGTTTTGCACTTAAGCTGCAATCGTGTGAATTCCAGGGTGTTGCTTCTGAATGTTCCCATCGCTTTACAGGGCTTTCGCCTGAAAACTCTGGGGTGTTTCTTTTCAATGTTCCCGTCGCTTTAGCCCATGTCCGCTACTGACATATTTTCTTACAGAAGAGTATTGGCACGTATTGGCTGTGGCTCATATGTAGTACAAGCATTGTCAGTGACGCTCGTATTAGGCGCAAAGGACCATGAATTTTCAGGGACAGGGACTCCACGCTTGGAATTGGGGTCCCATCCCGATGCCGATGCGTTTGGACACCCAAAAGGTTCTTGATGTCCCGCAAAGCGCCCTTGAAGCAGAGCCCAGGATTCGCCAGGCCGCATTCTGATCATGACCACGAACCATCCGGAGAAGCTGGATCCTGCCTTGATCCGACCAGGCCGCATCAACTTTGCGATCGAACTGGGATTCATGAAGGGCGAGTGCTTGTGCCAGCTCGCGGCCCGGCTCATGCGCGAGGAGCTCACAGAGGCCCAAGCCAAAGAGGCATGTGAGATTGCTGAAAAAGGGAAGGTCACGCCCGCCAAAGTGGAGCAGTGTTGTGCTGAAGCCACCAATGTAGAAGGCCTGCTGCTGGCCTTGAGGAAGATTGCCGACCTTGAGGTCAAGTGACCTGCTCTGCCAGACCCACAGCCCGTGCAGCCTGTGAGGCATGCCGTTCAGCCAGCGGCCAATGAAGCCGAAGGCGGACAACGCAGTGGCGTATACAGTTCACATGCAGCGCGCGTGTGCCGTGCGCCCTCCGTGTCACCACAGTAGCTCCGATGCCTTGCAGGGTCAAACGACCAGCGTCGGACCGTGGGAGCGATCAACAGAGTCAAACAGCCAGCCTGAATCTCTGCGTTCCGTGATTTCGTGCATGAGGCAATGAGTTCCAGGTTCCGTGGGACATCAGCAGTCCTAAAGCTGTCGATGACACAAGAGACCAGCATGCTCAAGATGCCGCTGCCGCTGCTGCTGCAGCTGCCACAGCTGATGCCTTGTCGCCTATCATGCGCACCACGTCATCCCAGGTTTGTGATGATGATGATGATGATGATGATGATGATGGTGATTCATATGCAAACCACCCACCGGGCGTTGCCATCGTACAACGTGCCAAACGTAGTCTTGTCGGCCCATCCATGCATGCGTACCAGCAGTTCTTAGACAGAAATTTGCTTGTGTGTCAGAAGTTGCAGTACGACAGCACCGCAGTAGCACATAGCCTGGATAGCCAACAGCAGGCGAGCCTTATTTCAGCTTTTCATGCTATCCCTTTCTCAATGAATTCGTTTTATCCGCAGCACCGAAGACAGTGCAGCTTGATCCTCAGACTTCTATTGGCATGGTGGGTTGGGGGTGGATGCAGGAAAACTATGCCGAACGGATACATCAAAAGACAGGAATTTCCTATCAAATGGAGCGGTCCCTCTCAGGTAAATGCAATGCTGCAAGCGGAGTTTGCGCTGGAGGCAGTGGCTCTCAATCATGATAATGAAGGGGACTCGCTGGGTTTCATGTTTCATGTGTTCCTGCATTGCGTGAGAGTCAACCATATGTATTGTGAAGCTTTAACCTGGAGTCCTACGCAGTTTCTCGATGGTTCGGTCTACAGTATCGACCCTTTGATACCTGGGAGTTGTCGGGAAGCATGCAAAGCACACCCGTTGACTGATTGCTTTGCAATTCCTTCTTGCTATCAGCCAATATTGGAACCTTTCTTGCAGCTGGGCTAAGAGGAGTTTCAAAGCTTGCCGTTGTGGACTTGCATTCTCACGGGGGGCAGCTAACGTGGGTGGATGCTTGGGTGTCCCACTACGGTGCAAGAAAGTACCCAGGCGTGGTCACTTGTTCAGCCCAGTGGTGTGAGCACCGTGTGCCTGACTCAGGAGATGATCAATAATGAATATTTCCTCTGCCACAACAGACACGGTTCAGGATTCTAGGGTGTTCCCCCATGGAATAAAAGGATTGCACGTCTAGACTCAAGAGTAGGGTCTAGTTCGGGCTCTTTCAAAGAGGACTGAAGGCTCTCATGTTTGTTGGTGGAGAGTGAGAGCATTGTCGTTTTCAGGGTTTCAGTTATGATTTTGAAATCCTGAAAGCTACGCTGTCATACTGGCCTCACCGTGAAGCAGTCCGAGAGGTTGCATATAAGGAGCAATTCACATGATTTTCTGAGCAAGACTGGGTAGGCCGTTGGGATGTTTAAAATTTTCCCTAATGGCTTTAATAGGGGACCCTATATATGAACATTTTTCAAAAGGGTTTTAGGGGCCAACCCAGAAGACTCAGTCTACAAGGTTGCAAGGGTGGATGCCAGTTAGGCCGAGCATGCGCTGTCACTTGCTTCCCAAGGCCTGCGCCCGAGCTCGGTGCGAGGTGGGCATGGATTTTTTGGCTTTAGGGTACCCATTGGGGTAATATTAGGGTTATATAGGGATAATGGAAAAGAAAATGGAAGCTACTATTTAGGGTTTAGGGTTAAGGGGTTTAGGCTTGCATAGAGCATAATTATACCATGATTGCTTATGGTTTCTTATGACGATTGAACCTGCACAGTCTGCCAAAGCTCGTCGACACTTTGAAGCTGAGCGACGACAACTACGAGCAGGCCTCAGAAGCAATTGAGCTGTTTTCGTGCCATGTTGTGACTCTCTAGTCTGGAAATGGTCAGCAAGTAGTGCCAGCACCGCCACAGTGGCTCAGACATGATGTCAGCCTGATGCCTTTTGCTTCTCCCATTTCTTTGGGTTATCAAGTTAAACTCCTGATGTTTCTCCGACTCTCACAACGCCCCAGCCCTGACCTGAAAATTGCCGTCCAATAAGGTACAGAACTGGTTCTTAGTAAGGAAATATACTCCCTATACAATCCCTGCATACTGTATTCCCTTATCCCACACCCCTAATTCCCATTTTTGGGAAACCCCATAGCCCTTGAGACCCTGGACTCTGAGCCTCTCCTTACTGGTTCTTGGTAGGGAATAAGGATTCTAATATGTGTATATATATATGTGTATCCCCCCCTGAAAGATATATCCACTTATTTCCTACTAAGAACCAGCAAATGCTTCTGGCAGGCACTCTCAATCTGCTCTGCCCCGCAGATTCAGATTGGCACCACAGGCCCTGGGTGATCCTGAGCCACTGCAGAGATAGTACAGATTACGTCAGGCTTTTGCGGTTACGAGTTGTCAGCCTTTTTTTTGCATATCTTGCTTCGCAAATCTTGGGTGTTGATGAAATTGCAGGGCTGGCTCAGTGTGAGGTTCATGGTTGGTGAACGCTAAGCTTTCGTGCTGATGTAGTGCAATTTTGACCCATGATCATCAGCATCCTACTCAGTGCTGCGACCAGCACGACCTGAAGTCAAAGCAAACTCGCGGTGGATCAATTCTGAGCTGCGCAGCTCTGCAGCGATGTGAGTGCAGAGAGGTGACGTGGAATTCCTCAGCTTCTGGCGCGCCCTTAGCGAGGCAAAGAAACATCCAGGGTCCAGCCTTGATGTGCGTTCTGAAGCGTTTTGAGCACTAGAACAGGTTCCGTTGTTGGCAAGTAATTCGCACTCCGGCTCTCCTTTTGGCAAGATGGTGAAAGCTTAGATCGCCCCAGGCGGTATCAGTATGATGCAGTATGATCTTTCTATCGGAATGTTTCAGACTCATGCAGGAGGATCTTGTGTACCTGGATACACTGATAGTTCATCCCTGTTCAGCTCCACGGAGGCGAATGCCTCCCACGGACAGCTGAACCGTTCAGCGTCACCGCCTCAGCAGCAAAATTTGGCAACCAACAAAAGAGGATACACCACTGTATGATCCGTTTTTTTTTTCATCTTCCATTTTATTTTCCACTTAGATTCTCCAAAATTGGGTTAACGGTTCAACATCCCCTTGAACCCTTTAAGATCCCTATTCACATCGGTGAGCCATGTTCCAGCGTTGCTTTAGATGTTGCTCTCTCCAAGATTTGAAGAAATACTCTTTTGTTGCAGGTATGCGACTGCAGCCTGAACCTTACGGGTACGAGTGGCCCTTGCTTTCGCACAGCGTGGCAGGGCCAGTGGTTAGCAACAGTCTCTAAGGATGGTGCAAGATTATCTTGAAGAAATATGCTGGGAAGTTCATGAAGTTGAGCTAAGCGCATATCATAATCGGAAGAGGTTCATCCGAGTTGCATGACCAACACATCTTAGCGCATGCATATGTAGGACGCCTAAAAATGAAATTTCCAGCGCGACATTACCCTAAATTGCCAGACCCTACACCAAAGGCCGGCCATGAACCCTACGCCCCAAGCAGCGCCAGCATTGCCGTGCCTCTGAGACCGAGAGCGTGCCAGCCCACGAAGCCCTGACTGGCTCTCAGCTGAGGTTTTCAGAAGGTGAAGAGGATTTGAGTTATGACTATATAGGATTTCACAGGCTCACGCCTGGATAAGCTTTCACGCAAATGGTCATTTGAAAGCGCATATTTCATGCGAGTGAAGCAGGCGGCACAGCAGCTAGGGTTGCCCAAAATGAGCGGAAACAGTTTCCTAGTGCAGATAACATGAACAGCTCCATTAATTTGTGCAAGAGAGTAGAGTAGCCCAGATAGTTTCCTTGCATTCAGGGCCAGCATTCCTTCTGGAAACCACAGGGGCCGCAGATTAAGGTGATTTTCATTCAACTTCATCTGGTGACAGACAAAAAGCTTGAGCTCCTACTCTCCAGCATAGTGGAAAGGGCCGCAGACTCAAAAGACCGGGTAAGGGCTGTGGCTAGCTAGACCATCCGTCGCTCTCATGGAAGAACCCGACCTTCGTAGGTCGTCGCATCAACAACGCAGACTTATCTGCACAGATTTCTTGTTCTTCATCAGCTGGGGTCGGAGCAATCCTTCCAAACATGGACCATTGTTTGTCGATCCCAGTAGCTAAGCTCAGCAACTGATCATCTGAGGAGGAAACGGTTGCCTCTTAGGATATAGTGCCCCTTCAGTAGATAGAATATGGGGTATATGGGGCGTCTTACTATAATATAATATACCCAAAGCCATATTCTATCTACTTAAGTTAAGGGGGGAACAGCAAAGTAACATTTTTCGGGAAGAGTTTATGTAGTCCCCCTTAAGTAGATAGAATATGGCTTTGGGTTAATTGTAAAAAGATCCCCATATACCCTACGTTCTATCTACTTAAGGGGGACTATATAATCGGAAACTCTGCAGTTGTGTGCGCGGCAGGGGCCCAGAACGAGACCGCCTTATCTCTGAGCTGGAGGAAGTGCGCACTAAGCCTAGTAGCACCCAGTACAGTTTGGTGTCGCTTATCAGGTGGTCTGCCTTAGATACGTTTTTGTAATGTCCTGCGTTGATCGGGCCTATGCTTCCTCACAGAGATTCTTAAAGCTGCCTCGCCTTTGCAAGGTGACGAACTCTTGGACCGCTTCGAGGCCTGCAGCATGACCCTGTGATGCTGTCCCTTGTTGAGGCTCGGTTGCTCTTGAGGAGAAGCAAATTAAGGTACTCGTACCATGAAAAGAAAACCTGTCATTTACTTTGTGCCCAGTAGCAGGAATTCAGATTGTTCAGACGTTGGCCATCCAGAAGATGTGCTTCCAAGGATCAGCGTGCAGCATAAATGTCTCGAGAGCAAGCCGTGCTGTGGTTTGGAGCGTGCATCGACTCCATGGGTTCCTACCAGGCGATTAGAACGTTTGATGGTTATAGTTATCGTAGATGGTTTGCGCTGAAGCGTGGACTGCACAGACTTTGGCATTCGGGAAGGTTCTCTCACATTGAATTTGATCCAGCTGCGCTATAAGTCTAAGTAGCTCGACGAAACAGGGGGCAACTGAACATGTAGTACACATTACGAGCTTATGAGATCTGGCCAATTGGCGGCAAGGCGCTCGGGGCAAGTCAGCTCCCGGCCAAAGCCTTGGAAGAGGTGGCGAGGGACTCAGCTGTGCAGGGGCTATTATGCGGGGCAAAAGGGGAGATTGTGGCTTTGGGTGTGAGCATTGGAAGAATGCAGATCTCCGAAGGAGTTTGGAAGGGCTTCGGAATTTGGCGGTGCAGCCTCACATTTTGAATCAAAGCCTGAAAGCTGGTCCTAACAGTCTGTGAAGAGAGCATGGGGCCCTTAGAGAAAAGAACAAAAGCTAGACCCCAGCTAGACCACTCCAGTTGAAAGCTGATGTTCCCGCTGGCGCTGATGCCTGCAATCCAACTCACGAAAGGCGGTTTGCCCAAAGCGGGGAAAATCTAACAGCCCAAGGTCAGGTCCATCCGCGAGCGCTCCATGGCTCCTGAGCCTTTGTCTCAGCGCGTTATGTGTTGCATTCAGGTGACTTCTAAGTTGAGGCAGCTGGCCCAAAGTTTGTCGCTCTGGAGGTTTTGGAGCCAGTTGCTTGGCGGAATGGATTTCCAAGAAGGCCTGCAGAGAGGTTGCTATGGTGTTGACGTGCCAAGATCCACAGTTTTCCTCGCACGGAAGGAGCCCTCAGCGTATCGGAGGTGACTGTTGTGCTGCTGACGTGGCTGCGCCACTTGCCAATGTCTGGACCCGGACAGTTTGGCTGCTAACATTCCTGTGCACGCTTACTGAACCTTTGCATCACAACATGATGCTGCAGTGAGCTGCATTCATGCTTTCCTGTTCGTTTGGAAGGTCAGAGGGGGGAGTCAGGCGCCCAATAACACATAGCGCGATGTGCTCCTCAACTGCGTTGAAGCCCCAAAGCCTCAACAAAAGCAGCACTTGCCTACGTGTCAAGGTTATACAATCTCCTTCCACCATTTCGTGGGTATACAGCAACCATCATCTTTCAGCCAAGCACGCTTGAGTCTGGATATGGCCTGGCCAACTTGTCATGCCCAGTGCAGGCTTTGGCAGGAGCTGAAAACTAATCAAGTCATGAATCGGTTCGCGTCAAACGAAGCAGGCAGAAAGCGTTAAAACATAGCAAGCGGCTAAGCGCCACAGAACTGCATTCTACTCGAGCACAGCTCGCCAAAGACGCACGTGACTGAGGCGAGGCGGCTGGTTGGCAGTTGCCCTCGGAGTCCTCAGTCACCATCTCCACAGGCAGATCCTTCCCACGTTCACAGGAGCCTCTTTTCAGAAGGCGAACGCGTCTGGAAATTCTGGAAGAGTAGAGTGGGGATGCGTGCTCTGTGATTGCAATCCATTTGGGTCAACGTCTGTAGTAGGCAGCGGCGGTGACATCAGAGCTGCAAATTTGGCATTTTGGCTCAGAAGGAAGGGGAATCTGTTACTGTCTATGTATGTTTGTGTGGCATATGTCAAAGGAGAATGTAAACACAGTAGATCAAGTATCCAAAGTATAATGGAGGATGGTTTGTTGGTTTATATTAATTTCGAGTTAGCTTCATCTCATTGAGGTCATCAGCAATGCTGGGTCGTGCACATCAGAAACCTACCAGCGCTCCATGCAGCAAGCATACTCAAACAAAAGTTGGATTGCGTTTAAGTTGTTGAAGTGCATTTAGAAAATTAGGGGTTGTTCTGTATTTTTGGGCCCCACTGATAGCTGGGTAGCTTGGCACGTCAAATATTTCGGCACAAATTATCTTTGGGACCCAAAGGGAACTGTAATTCAGAACAGCCCCGGTTTAGTCGGCAGCTCCATACCCTGGTGGTGGTCTAACCGCAGGCGCTGTGAACTGCGCAGCATAGCGTGGCTTGACAATATCCAATTGACCTCAGATACATATATACATATATACATATATACATATATATATACATATACATATACATATACATCATATACATATATATATATATATGGGGGCTTTTCAGTAAATGCTTTTTGCAGTTCAGTATTGTCGTTAGAGTTGCCAAGTTGCGCAGTTGCGTCAATGACCCGCTGCTGGAAGGATCCCCGGTATGGTGGATGTGCTGCCGAAGAGTGATGTTTCCTGGCCCATTTTACGCTGTCGGATATTTCGCATGTTTCGGTAGATCACATCACTCCTGGCAAAATCCTGCAATGAGTCACCGCTTGCGATTGGCAACCTGCACTTTCCCGCTGCCTCAAGTGTATGCGAGAGGTCAGAGTCGAACAGGGCGAGGCCCTAATGCGAGCAGTCAAGGACTTTGGGCGCGAAGTTGTTTCTTTATGGGACTCATCCCCCATGCGGTCATGCACTTTCTTGGGATCGTTCGCGATGGGTTCTTGTACAAGAGCAAGATGAATGTGCTTGGCATACTAGGCAACTGAATATTGAGCACCTGGCATGTTCAGGAGGATCGGAAATCCGAGCTTGATCGACTGATCGAATTGGGGGCTGACCCAACGCAGCTGTGAAGCACTGGAGCATCTGCAATGTGGATACCACATGTATTCGCATATGAGTGACAGTCAAAATTTCCAACCATAAGATCATGTCTCGGGTGGACATGACTTGAGTGGCTGACGTTGAAAACCCTGTAAAACGATAGGGGAGACAAAAAAACAAAAAGATAACCATGATGCAGCTGGCCGTGCTGCCTAAGACTGTTAGGTAGTCATTCCTTTGAAAAAGGCGGAAATGCCGAACAACGATGGGGGAGACAATTAAACCGATACCCCAAGCCCATGTCCATTAGCCAGGTTTGGAGTTTCGACCGTAGCTCATGTGAGTTTTTATCTGCATTAGGAGATGCTTAAGGGGGTTTGATGTTCTGAATGCGGTGGTGCTCTGGGCCTGTACGAGTATGAATCAGAGAGCTTCTTGCTTTATGCTGCCAGGATCTAGCCTGGTCATCGTGCGAGTTTTGCCGTCGTTTCCAGTTTGTCTGAAGAGCAGGTATTGCGGCAAGCGCTGTCAAACCGCCCTCCACGATGCTGCAGCAATGGGGAGGCAGCGTTAGATGACCAACGCATGTAGCCCGCCAGATCGTTGTTGAAGCGTAGCTTGTATTTTTTTGGCCCGGCTTGCACCCTCACCATCCCTGACGCTTCAATCTAGGCTTCTGCGAGCGCATGCCGTTGCTTTGTGAAGAACACAGGGAAGCCGTTCAATCCACTCGGGAGACTTGGGTGTTTCCAAAAATTGGGTGTACCATCATTGGGATCCCATAAAAGGAATATTGTTTTGGTGTCTATCTTGGGGTCCCCTATTCTTTGGGAAAGTACCACTTCTTTCAGCGTACTCGCACAAAAAAGTGGTCGACTACAGCCATGGGTTGGATACAGACGGGGAGTGCAAGAGCTGTGTCCTTTTTTGAGACGAGGGTCAAGCTGGTTGGTCGACGCGACTCTGATTGCTTGCAGAATCGTCTGGCGCCAGCCAGCACCATTGAACAGAGAAGGGGCACCAGCCTGAATCTCGACTTGTCCCTCCCCAAACTCTTTCAGTCCCTAGTAGTTAGGCGCATTAGGCACGAAGCTCAAAAGTGTGGTCAGGGCCTATTGTCTCATGGAGCTGCTCCGGGTGGCGCCTGACCTCGTGGCGCTGCAAGACAACGCGGGCCCTTGGGTTCAGAATTGAACGTTGAATGTCCAGACTATGCCAACATCCTGGCGGTGGGTACAGTACAGCTCTTTTTACTCGTAGTCGCAATGGCCCCCGCTGCGACCTATCCCGGATTCTGAATGATTTTCTGATCAGCCCTCGCCCAGGCCAGACAGCAATTCACTGTGCAGCTGCTGAAGGACGCACGCTGTCAGCTGGAACTTCAGATCTGCCAAACCCGTGCAATGCAGGACACCACAGCTGCCTGAACGAGTTGCTGGGCATTGGCCGAACAGCCCGTGACGTGCCCACGGAGTTCTGGGATAATCCTGATTGGTTCTTCAAAAAGAGGCCCCTGAAACCATCCACAGGATGTAGCTTTGCAGATAGCTGCCCCGAGCCCAAGGCCAAGTGGTTTTCCCCTGCAAGTTGGCTTTTGCGCGCATTTGGCCAGCTTTGCAGAGGTACCGCTTGAGGTCGTGACAGCCAAGACCTTCAAGCATGGGTGGACCGCGCTGCATTATGCAGCCCACAATGGCCATGATACTTGGCTATTGGCAAGCAGTGTTTGCGAGACCCTTGTCGATCACATGCAAATAGCCAAAGATAGCTGAGAATTCTTGGAGCTTTGTGGAGCTTTGTGATCTTGCAAATGCTGTGCAGCATACTTCCTTCAACGCATTGTTGTTGCAGCTTCTCTTGCTGCCCGCGCTTCTGATGAGATTTCTCTGCTGGATGCTAGCAATCAAGGCAGAGTGTTGCCGTGCCCTCATGGTAGCCACTGGCCAGGCTCCGGAGTGGCTTGGCTCCAGGAATCACTAGCGCACCAGCTGTTCCTTTCTAACATACTTTAAGTTTCTAGCTCACTGTTGTGAGGCTAGTGGGCGCGCTGAACCTCACGGGGAGAACAGCACTGCACCTGGCAGCGCAGCGGGGTCATGCCAAGTGCCTTGAAGTATTGCCCGGGACTCAGCTTGCGATAGGGTTGGCTGAGGCTAGGACATAGCCCTCGGTCTTCTCCCAACAGCGTGGCGTGAGGTTCTCGTGAGGTTAGGCTGTGATGTGAGGTTTTGTGGCTACATGGCTCTAACCAAATTGATATGTTTTGAAGCCTGGGATGAAGCTGGGATTCCTTTTTCCACATCCCTTTTCCCGAAAGTGTGGCGAAGGCTTTTTTCCCGTGGATGTGGTTGTCTATGCGATAGCTTGATGTTTCATTTTGACTGTTGGGATTATGTTAGTGGGATGATGTTATGGCATTGCTGCACGGTTTTCGTGAGGTATTTGGTTGGATGTGGGGCTGATGGCATGACGTCTGGCTTTCGTAATGTTGGCTGCTCTTATAGTTGATATGTTTCTATTCTAGGGATCGGTGCTGACTACCTCACTGCTCTATGCTTCTGGGGGCGCTCGTTCTCTAGTTGAGATGCCTGGTGACCTAGTGTCGGAGGTATTTCAGCGATTAGGATTGGCAGGTGTCCTGCTTGTCCTGACACCTGGCTTTTCCTATGGCGTTGAGACGTTGACGGGTGCGGTGCGTGTTCATGTTGCAAAACACGGCCAGTACTGTGGTGTCAAGTGTTGAGCTGTCTTGACGTGATTTCAGCAGAAGAGCCTTTTATCTACTGCTGCCATGGTTGTAACTGCATGCTTCTACCAGGATTGCTGGTAGCAATTGTTTTCAGTCCTTTGTAGTGGCAGTAAATGCCGTATGATGCTTTCAGTACTTTGTGATTCACTTTTCCCACCAAGGCTCAAGACCCACATGGCGAAGCAGTTGCTGACCACCCAAAGTGGCTTGAAAGAGTGATGGAAAATAATGGCCGCTAGGAAGATAACGCTCAGCATGATATGCTCGCGAGCAGCAGTCAAGCGTTGATTGCTACGAAGTTAAGCTTTGCTTGTGTTTGCTGAGGCTTTGGTTGCATCAGCACTAAATTTCTCGCTATGCTGGCTCTTGCTCATTCTTCCAGTGACCTCTTTCAGCACAATTTGGTTGAGTTGCTCCTCTTACTCTTCTACCTTCTTGACTTCCCTGAGCTCTGAGCTTGTTGCTTCAAATCTATCAACGCCAAGACCCTAGCAAGCCCTGGACCCTAATGAAACCCTCAGCCCAGGCTTCGACGGTCACACGGCAATGCACATCGCCGCGCGCTTCGGCCGGCGCGGCTGCGTGAAGTCTCTGGCCCGGCGTCTCCCGGACCTGGTGAAGGCATCGGATTCCTGGAGCGCTCATAGAAGACATGGAGAGGGATTATAGGGTATATATTGGGGTTATATGGGGCATAATGGAAAAGAACATGGAAACTACCATAATGGGTTATATGGGGATTGTGGGTTATATGGGGTTATATATGAGGAAATTGCCCAATTAGTGACTGTACAGGGGAACGCAGGTTGGGGGGCAAGAGCGGCATGGAGACATTTTAGTAGAATGCAGTTTTGGTGCCTGGCAAGGGGAGGCCCTCAAGTCATCGTGGCCACTGCAATTGGCGTGCGGCATTGAGTATGAACAAGATAAGGTTTGCAAGCAACATGCAAGCCGTGAAAGGGCACACTGATAAGGATGACAGCAAGACAACAAGCATGAACGCTCGCTGTCCGGTGACCTCCAGTGTCAAAAACGCGAAAAAAGTGCTGCCCTGCAGGTAAAGAACCACTCTGGCCACCCTTGCCTGCACGAAGCAGCCCGGAGGGGAAACGACAGCTGCGTGGAAACTTTGCTGGCGCAGCTTGGCTGTAGCACTTTGTTTTTGGAGGTTGTGTTCGCCTACCATATTCCTGTTCTGCATGTTCTGCATGTTCTGCACAGCACAGCGTCGGTGGGGTTGGAGTTGGAGGTTTTGAGGCAGCAGGTGCTGAGCTTGTGCAAGGGTGCGCGCTTCTAAACAGTCTAGCTCAGTTCATTGACTGCGCAGCACAACGTTGCAAAGCTGAGGCTAGGTGGTGCGGTGGAGCTGTCGGCCACCTCGAAGAAGTACGCGCATTCTCGGGGCCACAGCCGCTCGGCAATTCTGCTGGCAAGGTTTCTTGTTGGTGTTCGCTTGGCCTACAGTGGCCACGTCTGTCCCAGGGTCAGGTTCGAAACACATGCAAACAAACATTACTTGCTGCAGATGATCTGCAGGTGAAATTGCAGATGCCTTGGTGCAGATGGAGAAGCGGCTGGCAGCCCAAAAATCGATGAAGCGGTCGCGCTCTATGCCTAACACTTTGCCAAACATGACCTTCTAAGACAGTGGTCAAGTTTCACATTTTGCCATTTAGTCTGCGACGAGACGAGACCCACTTGGTTACTTGATACAAGTGTGTACGTTTAAGTGGTCAATTTGTTGGACTGCGCTCTTCGAATTCCACGTTTCCATGCGGCTGTTTCTGATTGCTTGTCGCAGACTTGATTTCACTCCTCCAGGTAAGCCTCAGTTATCCAGGCTCACCAAGGCAGTCTCACAGCTTCCTGTAGGAGGGAGCTCAGCTAATCTTGGTTCGACTCCAAGCCCAATCCAAGTGAAGCCAGAACATACTCTCGTCGGCCACAGGCCTGTTCGCTGCTTGTGAACGGTCAGGCATTACTCCCTCTGGATCCGATGCTTCCGAGGCTGCCGGGATTTGGAAGCTGCAGTCAGTCATTCTCGAGCATGGCATTAGAGATCACAAAGGCATCAAGCAATGACATCAATCTGTCTTGTTTTTTTTTTCTGCCCGCTTAAAGTACTTTTCGAGGCTGGCCCTCAATGTAAACTAACCTTCACTTGATGCTACACCTTGCAAGAAGAAGTTCTGCCACGGTTCCCTGTAACATCTTCGGTCAGCTTCTAGAAAGGAAGCCGCGTTGCTGTGGTTATCGATGTTATCATTGAAGCAGACTCGGTGTTCCGATAAGTCGAAAGTTTTCAAGAAGTAGTATACTCAATGGTGGACAGGAGCTTACCATGCTGGCAGGGCACCTTCGGCAGGCAGTGGAGTTGCAGGGTGTGGCGTGTGTGTTGTGCGCATGGGGGGAGGGTTCAGGCACAATGCAGGTTTTTCTTGTGACGGACGAAACTAGAAGTTCATATGGGTGCGCGAGTGAGATCTTCAGAGCACGAGGCGCCAGGTGCATGCAGAGGCAAACTGTGCAGGCTTTGGACATGGGCCCCATGAGCACGCCGCCTGCTGCGCTCCCATGTGGGCCTGGACCTCTGAAGCCTTCCAATTCTGCTTGCGCCTTGCCATGGTGAACTGGCAGACCGCGAAAGGATGCTTTCATAATTTTGCTTTTGTTCACAAGCTGTCCCGACTCCCCTCAGCCCGGCCAAGTCGTACAAAGACCCTTATGATTCGGCGCTCTTAGTGTTTTTGCCTTCAAAAGAGGTGAATACAACATCCTTGTTGCAGGCATGGGGCCAGCAGAACAATGCCATCTTCACCTGCTCCAGGACAGGTCCACTGGGAAGGTTTGCAAAGACATGACATTTGCAAAACGCAAACACGGAACCCGGAAAGGGATCTTTTGTAACTCTGGTACTAGATTTTGCATGAGCTTGGGGGTTGTGGATGACAGCTCTATTCCTTTTGATCTGGAGCTACGGCAACATTGAGACACTGCTAGCATGACCAGTCATGGCAGTCTGAACAACATTTTTGCAAAACTATTCTTTTTTGGCATGCCAACTGTGAGGCGGCAGTGGCAAAAGCAGTGGCACTATGTGTGGCATACGTAGTCGTAGAAGCGCAAAGCAGCCATGTACCAAGATTGCGTCATGGTGGTCAGGCTTAGGGTCTGGGACCAGGATTGCGGCGGCCAGACGTCGAATCCCTGGCTGCGGAGGCTCCGGACTGATATGTGACCGCTAGCTCTATTGATTATAGATGCTTAACATGGAATCCATATCCAGCAGCCCTCTGACAATTCCACATGGGCCTTGGGACCCTCGTTGGGAAGCGCCTTTGTTGCCAGAGAGAGAGAGTTGTACTGCATCATAGCAAGGAACATTGGTCGTCAGTGGCTTGTTTTTAGCTCTGTTAGTTCTTACCATCATCGCTGTCATGCCAAGAGTGCAACTCTGGCAAAGAGATGGCTGGTCAAGTCAGCTGCCAGCCCCAGGCACCCACGTCATTCCTAGCTTGAGTTGCTGCCGTGCTGTGGTTTCTATACATCGTTGTCTAACGTCTAACTTAATGGAGAGCAGTTTTGTTTGTTCCAGCCTGGTGCTGGTAGAGGACGCGGTCACTTTCCCCAGCAGTTTCTCCACTGAAGCAGACCCAGCCAGTATTGTACAGATTACAAGCAGAAAGACGTTTGGTTGTCAAAGAAATTTGCTGAAGGTTTGTTTCGAAAATTGCCAGGATCTGGACCACAACTTTAGTTCTCCAGGCCAGGACCCTGCTGAGCCAGTTCCTCAGCAGAGGTTCTGTTCCAAGTAGCCTTTGCCAGAACAGGGGTACTGTAGACCCATGATTAATAAGCCCCTTCCTCTTAAGAGCCTTAATACTAGGATCCTATTAGAATCCCTAAGCGGGGAGGGGGTTGATTAATCAGGGGTCTGGGTTTTGTTTGAAAGATTTAATCAAAGAACTCTTGCAGAACTGCTCTGAATCTGAAGCCCAGGCAGAGTTCCGTGGCCCCTGGCGCAGGCAAAAGTGACGGTGTCCGTCTTGGTTTGCATTTGCTGTCTCATTCACTGGTGTAGCGTAAAAGCTGCCAGCTGGTTTAGTGCAAGACATGACTTTGCAGCTGCGGGTTAGGTTCCGGATACACGTCCCCGAAGCCCAACATGCGGTCTGCAATGCTCAGCTTGAGTGCAGACGCATGTGCCCCAGACATGGCCAGGGCCCTGGCCAGCTGGTACGTAGGCAGTTCCTAAGTCCCATTTTGGTACCCCTAAATATTAGGTGCCGTAATATCATCCATACCCAAAAGGTGCCCATGATTTTGAGAACAACCCAGGTACGATTTGTGGATCGTATTTCGCCAAGAAGGGCAGTGGCAAGGGTGACATGTAAGCGGATTGGTCTTCAAACTTGTTCTGACTCTGCCAAATTAGATATCGGAAAGATTCGCCGGCTCACTCTTTTGCCGGCTCTTGTACATGGTGCTTTCCTAGCTAGCAAACCACTTGCAGCGACTTTGATGGAAGGAATTTTCAACTACTTTTACTTAGTGTTGGAGCCTGGTTGGCAAGAGCTCAACACGCAAAATGAAATGAGGAAAACAAAATCAGCCACGGCTGTTAAGGCGCCTGATGGGAGGTGCGGCTGGATGCGCTCGGCAATGCTGCCAATCGCGCCCGAAGGCCCCAGCCCATGCTCAATAGTGCACCTGTAGAGCCTAGTGCCGAACGCTAGAGGTGTTGGAATATTCAAGAAGACAGTCCGATGAGACGCACAGATGTCACAGAGGGCTTGTGGCTTGCTGACTGCCAGGGTCAGCACCAGATGCCTCACTACCGGCGCTCACCTGCCCAACGCAGGACACGATACGGATGTAGGAACAATAATCTATACATATATATGTATGTATGCATACACATATATACGTAACATAATGCATAGTATAAGATATTTGCATACATATACATGATATGAGATATTTGCATATATATATACACACACACACTTATATTAGAGTGTGTGGGTGCGCAGTAAAACGAGGGTAGCAGCGTAGCATGTCAGAACACGATGACTGCTGAAGGACTCCTCCAACTCAACGCTCACGATGCCGCTCAATTGCAGCCTCGACAAAGATGATCTGGATCGCTTGAACAGGCAGGATGTAATGAATCAGCTTACCCATCTCCATGTGCACTTAGCCGGCAAGGCTTCGCCAGCTAGCACATGAGCCACAGCTCCACGACATCCGCACAGGACTCGTTTGGAAGAGCTGGTAGCCTGAATGAACACGTCACTCCATTCTGCCGGAGGCGACTTGAAGAAGGAGGCCCCCGATGCATCACGACGCGCCTACATACGCTCGGCGATGCTGCAGATGCCTCAAAGAACTCAGCTTCAATTTGCAGCAGCTTGTGCAGACAGCCCATCTGATTGAACGAGTTGTAGGACACCGCGTGTCAAACAACGGTTTGTTGTGCTGAGGCCCCTGTCATCACTGGGATCGCTGGGTGAGGTGCGTGCGGGGCTGTTGGTGTGCCACTGGCAGCCTTCAAAGCATCGTGTGCGGCTACTTCATGAGGAGGGCACCGGTATTCCTGTTTTCGTGCACATCTACGACGCCGGGACCTTGAACATTTGCAATATGGCATTCCTGGAGCAGCATTCTCCCAACATGTACAAGATGCAGCAGAGGTCACACAAGAAGTTGGCATACGGCGGCTAAACAAGGTTTCGCGCAGATTTGCGCAGCAAGCAAGACAGGCCGCGTTTCCTTTTCACAAAACAATCAACATTGATGCGCAGGTCCTGGCAAACAAGCGCCTTCCAATCAAGTGGTGACCTAAGTCTGGTGGCAGCCGCTGGATGACATCAGATGTGTCGGCGCATCTTAGGTTTGGGGGCGTCTTCCATGCAGGTGTAGAGGCCAGGGTGCTTACTGTGGAGCTGCAGCATTGCTCGCATGCCTGGGCCCCTAGATGTTGCAATTCCACACACTTTCTGAGCAGAGTTTCCGCCACAAGGCCTCTGGCTCTTCCTTGGGTACAATGCGCGATAGCCTGGTACCCATGCTGCCTCTGACCCGCAAAGGCGCTCCAACCCTAATCCGACAACACAACGCAAAATGCCTTTAGCGTTAAAGTCAGGCAGCTTCGAAAAATCTGAAATGGTTTCCTTGCGCTATACAGGCTTTGGACACATCAGCCTTACAAACCCAGGCAGTGTTCTCTGAGCCCTTATCACATCCTCTCAACCCCTACCTTTACAACACACCTCAACCCCGGAAGACAGGTAAGTCGCCATAGTTGAAAAGCCCCAGACGATCATCATGGAACTGCCGCCATGGAGCTTTGCCAAGCACTCGGCCAGCGATGTTTCCTCTTCCTGGCTGCCTGGCAGAAGCTCCTAAGGTTTGATTTGCACCCAGACTGGTCTTCATACGTCAGCATTTTAGGCCCATTTTGAAGGTGACTAGCCCCGAGGAAGAGGTTGCCCGAATATGTCCATGCTCAGCGCACATTTTTTGGGCGCAATTTTTTGCACATACCCATGTGAACTGTTGACAAAGACCTTGAAGCAACGTCTTCCTTCCCAAAGCAGCCACAGCGACCTTAAAAAACAAATCCATGTGAGGCCTGCTTTGGGGCAGCAACCGGCCTGCCAGGCGATACTCATTTGACTTATCTCTCAGGTCCAAGGGGTTGCAGACTCCGTCAGTATAGGTTAGTTAGCGCTTGCTTTAAACTGACCAGGGATGACAAGCACACGGCAGCATACTTATTAAAGAACCAGCTCGAAGTAGGGCTCAGGCACGCCTTGAGTGAGCAGAAAAGCCATGCGCTTGAAGTTCTTGTCCTGGCACCTTTGAGACTTTGAGGCGATCGCCAGCATGATTGGCATACGGCATAGCCCATATGTCATGATTGGTCAGGAAAGCAGCGAAGGGCGTTTAGAGAGGTTTTAAGGCAAGATTCTGCTTTCAAAGTTTGGGCCTTGATTTCACTCCTTAGACTTGATTACCCTTGAAGATGGGATTGTGCAAGTACATGGGGGGCTTGTTTTTACGAGGTCAACATGATTCACATGGTGCATGTTAGTCTGCTGCTTTCCAAGGATGGTCTCGCTCCGAAGCCGCCAATGGGTTACAATTCCTGGAATGACCTCGAGTGCCGTCCATCGGAGGCAAAGCTTCAGGCACCTGGACCGCAACAGGGCAGGGTTGTACCCAAAAACCTTCGTGGTGTAGGGATGAAGACGCATGAAACCAAGGCCATTGCCGAGCTTCAGCTGCATGTTGGGCCGTTACTTGTTTCCTGGTGTGTCATGTTGTTCTCACTTTTCCAAGGGCGTCGGACGGCATCCGTTGTCCTGCATCAGCCCACAAAGGAGAAGATCAAGCAGCTGGGCCTTTTGGCCTTGGGATACGAATACGTTGTCATCGATGACTGCCGCGCGGCAGCACGGACTTGGGAAGAGCCTGTCTAATACATGACTTATCATGAACCTCATATGAGACCCGCTTCCATGTGAGAAGCAAGTTTCTGTGAGGAAGAATTAGAATGAGCTGCACCCCCCATGAAGCCGTCAATTTGGCTGCTCTGTACCAGTTCCAAGGCTGGATGATCAGCCGGGGTGCTGTGTGCCCAGCTTCTTTATTCAACGCTGTCCTGTTGGGAGAACATGTTATTTGCAAATGATGCTTGTGATGCATTGCCGCTGCCCAGTGTTTTGGCCATTGCCCATGGAAAAAATGACATTAACAGCAACATGACACATTTGTGAACCAGTTGGCAGCAACGGAGCATTGAGAGTGCGAGCGAGCCAAGACCATGCACATCTTGTAAAACATGAAACGATTGAAGTTTGACAAGTAGAGATGTTGTGGAGCCGAGCTCGCAATTTGACGCTGCCCTGGAGAGGGCTTCACAGTCAAACTCGCGGCTTCTCCAGTGACCTGCCAGTTTTCCAGAGGCCAAACTGCCCAGCAGCCCCGCTGAGCAGGTACGAGGTGCCTCCAGCGGTGCAGGTTCCGAGCCACATCCCACGCCCGTCCTACGCAGACCATCCACGAGGCATCCCTGGCGCTCTCACACCGGAGCAGTATGGGGAGCGAAAGTCGCCAGCGATGATCCAGAAGATGCGGAAGGCTTGTGGCCTCGCAGCAGAGGCTTTGATTGTGGCCTGCGACGCAGCCAAGGAGGGGGTGACCACGGACGAGGTGGACCGCAAGACTAGCGAGTTCGTCATCTCGCGAGGGGCCTATCCTGTGGGGATCAACTACTACGGCTTTCCGCGGGGTCTTTGTGCCTCACCGAACGAGGTTGCCCTGCATGGGGTGCCAAACACTCGTCCCCTTGAGAATGGTGACATTGTCAACTTCGATGTTACGGTTTTCCTCGATGGGGCTTACGGTGATTGCTCTGCAATGGCCTGCATCGGGGATGTGGACCACAACGCTTACTCCTTAGTGAGAGATACGCGCGAGATCTTAGAGGAGCTGGTAAAGATGGTGGGGCCAGGGCTCAAATTGAATGAAATTGGGTCTTGGTGCGAGACCTTTGCCAGGCGCCGCAAACTCAATACCGTCCGTGAGTTTTGTGGCCATTTCATTGGCAGCGAGCTGCATATGCAGCCGAATGTAAGTCATGTGCGGAATAATGTGGACTTGGAGCTCTTGCCCGGCATGACCTTCACCATCGAGCCCATCTTCATAGAAGGTCGTGACGCTGCAATCCAACCTGCACTCGAGGATGGGTGGACCATCCTAACAAAGCGCGGTGATTGGGCGGCCCAGTGGGAACACACCGTCCTTGTCACGGATAGCGGCGCAGAGATCTTGACTCAGGCGCTTTAGCCGAGGCGTGCTGCTTCTGTTCAAGCTCCAGCCTTGCGTTGCCAAAAGATTTTGCCAGATGACCGACCTATTGCAGCCACATCAAGTGTGTCAAGCCAATAACGAAAGTCTTCGCTGCAGTCTCTGAGGCCGACGGAAGGTTGACAGCGGACACCAAGGCCTTCCCATCAGGTGCCGCGTGATTCATTGAACGGCAAGGTAGGGGCACCCCATGAACCCTGACTCTTAGTTGTTCAACCTGACAAGTAGGACGCTCAGTGTGCAGCAAGAGCCCAAAGCAGGATTCAGATCAGCCTCTTTTTTCCAGATCTTGTAGTGAGGGTGAACGTGTAACACGACGTAACATTTGGATGATGTGGGGGATGTGGCCTTTCATTGGCATTGGGAGACTTCAAGCCGGAGGTGATTTTGATACGTGTTGTACTGATATTTCCGCCTGTACATGCAATCTCAACGTAGCAACATGCCTTTTTTAGTTTTCAGCATCTTCTTCAGACATTGACAAGTGCCACTGTAACTGCTCTGTAGTATCATTCAGGCATGAAAGCCTTGGGCGAATACCTGCATGGGCTGGGCTTCAAGTACGGCATCTACACAGACCGAGGCCTTGCAAGGATCTTTAGGTGAAGGGCGCGGGTAAACTTTTGCCTTGACCTTCTTGAGGGACACCTTGGTATTTTCTTTGCATCATCACCACGCGACATGTTCAGGATTCGCTTCGCGCCACCTCAGCCTTACGTAGCATTATGAAGCCCTTTAAGGTGTAGCGCCCTTGCCAGCCAAGAGGTCTGTCTCAAAGCATGAGAAGGATTGGGTACAAGCATGTTCGGTGCGGACATTTCGAGTTTAAATTAAACGTCATCTTGAACATCACCTCCAAGAGGTTATTCCTAGCATCCGAGTCTACAAGCTTGAACTTGGTCATGGCTGCAGGTTTCAAGACCTGTGCCAGCCGACCGGCCTCCATGGGACATGAGGCGGATGATGGCAGGCATAACTGGCGTTGCGTTTGCAAGGATTGTAATGGCTTCGGGACATGCTGTATTAGTGTCATTTGCAGAAAAGTGAGTGTTATAGCAAGGATGCCAGCAATGGTGGTATGATCTAACGTTAGTGCTGGGTCCCCGTTCTGGTGGTAACCTTCGTTAAGCGTCCATACCCTTTCGTATGATGTGTGGAGGCCCTCGTGAGCAAATCTTGTTGCAGGCTGTTTGGTTCGTGGGGTGTCGACTTTGTCAAAAATGACGGCTGTGTGGACCCGGAGTGTTCGCAGCTCAGCTCTTGCTGTCCAGCCCGACGCGCTTTCCCTGATCAAACCCTATTTGAGAATTTGACTATCTTCAGTCATGGCCGCGTCATGAGTAGTCTGCTGACATGCTGCTACTGTCCCACAGGCTAAACTAGAACATTGCTGCAATCCTTAGCCAAATCAATTACATACTCAACAGGCTCCGATTCCTAGAGGCGTTCAGGTTTGTAAGAAAACAGCAGAGTCAGATCCATTTTCAGGTGGAGATGTCATGGCTGCTTAGCTGCCATTGTTTTGTTTTGTTTTCTTCTGGGGGGTCGTAAGTGCAGCCGGTCCCTGCATTTGCCTTCTTTCAAGATGCATCACGCCAACCCATGATACTGATATGATATTTTAATATTTGTATAATTGTTAACACCATTATTCTTACTACTGCTTCTGCCACTGATACTCTGACATTCAGGGAGGATTCTGCAGCGCTGTGGACTTCATAGTCCCTAGGCATTGTATGGGCGCCAAGTAGGCACGTTGAATCTTGCATTCCTGAGCATCCGCAGCTTGCGCGAATCTCAGGAGGGGTATCCTGAGTCTGGCAAGTGCGATGAGCAGGGCAAACGAGCGGCGGTGCGTAAATACAGTAGCTTGGCTGGAGCTTGGCTGTACAGGAAGGATCCGTGAAGACGCTATGAACTTCAAGCTTAAAGCGCTTGTCAGCCCTTAGCCAGCAACATCCGGGCTCCATGCCGTAGCCTCGCAGAATTGCTGCGGAACGGATCATGAACCTTGAAGGATTACTGCAGGTGCTGGGCTCACGCTCGACAGGTTGTGGATCCCTCTAAAATCTTTGTCTTCTGTCCGCTCCCAGGACTTCTGGCCGAAGCCGCAGGCTCAGCTAGATGATTTCGCTGGTCGCAGCTCGAGAGAATTACAAGTTCTCTTTGGCCTCCAGAGCCTAGTGCTACTGCATTCGCCCGCCTGAGGCGCTGAACCGGAGCGGTCGACCAATTGAGCCCTGGCGGAAAGGGTGATGGTTTAAGCAAAGCTGGCAATATCGGCCAGTGTAAGGCTTGTCGTCGGGGGTAGTGCAAGTCTGGGCGGGGATCGGTGTGGTCATGTGTGGTCCGGTGGTCCAGTGGTCCAGGGTTGTGATTCTTTTATCAAGATAGGAGTCTCTCAAATAGGCAGCCGCATGCACCGGTTCAGACTGCACACAGCTTCATATGATGCGAAGAGCTATGGATAATACAAGACATGAGAGCGAAATAATGATTCAGCAGGTTCACTCCATCTGCGGATGGAACCCGTGGTATGCCCCAGTGGGACGGCACATTGGCCACATGTGGCGCATGAGCCCCGGAGCTTCAGGGTTTAGGACTGGACCAACATGGCAGAGATCAGAGATGTTTGTAGTTTTTCCTTTGGAAGTTCGCAGCCTGTGACTCCACTGTGGGCGAGGATCATGTCGGCACGTGTGCTTGTTTCTGCTCAAGTGGCCTTGTGCCACAGATCTATGTGGATCTGAAAGAGTGTGCTTGCATGCTCATCCCACGTTGCCACAACCCTAGTCAGAGATTGTTCATGTTCGCGCAGGGAAGGCATCGTCGCAGCCCCACGTGTTGCTGCAGAGGTTTGGCTCTATGCTTACATGGTTGATCTCAGCAGTCTGGGGCCCAGCTGTCTTCTGATCCCAGGCATCACTCCCTGAAGCCTTGAGAATGAAATGCACTCTCAGTGATTTCAGATCGTGCAGGTCCTCCTTTGTAACAGCCTTTTCGCAGAAGCCGTCGAGTTCCAGAGCAAGTTGACCGAGGATGCTCCAGAGCAGAGGCCCATATCATACAGCGCCATGGTGATCTCGATGGTTCAGCGCGGAGGTTCTAAACGTAAGATAGAGGCGACGCTGAAGCCTTAAGCTACTGTCAGCCGCGAGCATGACAGAAGCATTGCATTCAGAAGGACGGGGGGGTAACAATCAAGCTGAACCCGTCTGATAGCTCGGATGCAGCCACTCTTTGCTCCCTGTGACAATCTACTCTATGTAGAGATGCTAGGCGCCAACTCAATCTTGGCTTGCTGTTGCGTAACTGCCTCAGTCTAAGGAGCTGGGCACCCTTATAGAACCCGTGAGCTCATATTCCCCAGTGCCCCAAATGATCCAGGAAAATTAGGGAAACTGCCCTGGGCCTCCTCAAGTAGCATTTTGCCAGGCATGGGGCTGGAGGCTCCGAGGCACGGGCGGCAGCATCTATTCTGATTATGATTATTAGGCCAACAGTTTTTGCAGTGAATCGCATCTGCAGTTTAAAGAATAGGCATGGACAGCATGGGAGAATGCCAAGCATCTCTGTCTCTGTGCTGCTACCATGCTTATCATTACTAAGTATCTTGCTCGAACGACCTTCCTACTTCACTCTACAGACAACAGGTCCCTTCGCTGCTACGGTCAGAGCGCCGGGCTACTGGGTTGCTGTTAAGGAACTTAAATTAAGTTACTATATTGGGGAAACCCTATTATTTACTATATATGCCCATTATGGTAACTGCTGAAAGCCACT